GTGTCTCCTGGATGTCTCTGAAGCTTCACATCGCTTTAGTAAAATCACTGCTGCTGATTCTCTAGTTGCCTTTAGGTTTCTGGGAGGAAGCAGCAGAAAAGCATGGACCTACTGACTGTCAGATGATAGAGTACAATTTCTTAGAGAGCTAATAAAGTATAATTTCATGACATTGTAGATAGTGAAACTACTATGAACTGTAATAAAAGGGAGATAGTATTAATGAACATTGCTTTTTCAAAACATTTGTTTTCACTTGGAATTTGGTCAGTAGACTGCCCCAGGACTATCATAAGTAATTAGACATTTGGTAGATAAATAAGCAACCAAGCACACACATCATCTTTTCTACACTGTTCTGGGCTCACAGTAGACTCCCTCCTGTGGTACTGGAAAGATTCTTAGGGCACAGAAGTTTCCCACGGAGCAACAGTTCCAATTAGTGGATGGTGAATTATTTAGAAAATCATCATTAATAATCCATTTTTCTACCCATGGACCCTGGAACAGCATGGAATTAATTCATAACTCTTCTATGGGACAATCCCTCAAACACATGAAGATTGTTATCATGCTCCGCTAAGTCTCTTCTGAAATCTTTCCATTTTGTTTATAACCTGCCCAAATCTGAGAATAACGAAATATCTTATCAAGACAGCACATATCACATGAGCTGTTAAAGATTACAACACTTCAAACCGAGGAAGTGATGAGAAGCTAAATGGAGGAAAGGGTGCTGTCATCAAACCCATGTGTCTGAGGATGAAAGTTATTGTCCAGCTGTCCTGAAAAGTCAGGAGAAAAACGTAATTCAGAAAGCGAGCTTTTGAACTAGCCGCAAAGCCTTTGTGTCCAGTAGACTTTGTACAGAACAAAATAAAAAGTCTCAGAATGAAAAAAATTACAGAAATAAACCTACAGAATTATAGAAAGACTACTATTCAAAATAGTTGTGAACATTAGACATCTGCTTTATCTGCCATTGTTATATGCACATACTTTGCTAAGAGGGTTAAAACAGATAAACGTTGTATATAAGGTTTTCAGCATAATGCCTAACACATGAGAGGGTGCT